GCAGCTTGTCTGCCATCCGCCAGGTAGCGCAACAAAACACCCAAGTAGTTTTTAATTGTTTTTAAAAGTAGCTGAGCTTTTCACCTATTAAGAAACCAAAGCAAGATCATTGTGGAAATTTAATACATCGCAATGTATATCTATTCCAAACAATAAATGTTATTAGATGCCAATAAATCTGTTTTATGTCCAAAAAAGATATGCGTCGAAAACAGGTAAGTTTGAAGGGCTCCTGGAGCGTTATGACTTTGAAAATGAAAAAAAGCCATCGTCCACCTCTTGGGCAACCATTGTAGCTCTAAATGTTATAAAAGATTTTATCATAGTTTAATTATTTCCTCAGCGGCATTTGAAGTACCATGACTCGAAGCACAAAAAAGTGCTACGTTTGATATAAAATATCTAAACAAAAAAAATTTACACAACATTAAATTTTTTTCTGCATATTACCAATTATAAGCACTACCTCTGTAGCTAATTTCATTGCCCTAGCGCTTGTCGTTAAAAACATATTTGTGCTGAAAAATGTCAATTTTAGGGCAATATTTGGAGGGATGAAAAAAAACAAGGTAGTGCAAATACCAAAAAAGTGTATCGTGACATTCTGCTCCGACATCATCTTAACAAAACTGCTATATTGGAACCGTGCTATCTTTAATGGATCGTTCATAAAACATGAACTCGCGGAGCAAGTGAGGGTCCGCGGCATCATATTCGCAGCGCTACAAACGCGCATGAACAGTAAAAACCAACACATACATAATATCAAATGAAAGAGGATTGCATTGCCTTTCGAATGACATCAATCCCACAAAACAGTATTTAAAAGGAGATGAGTAATGACCTGCCAAAAAGTACGTAAACTGCCACATTCAGTGGGACCGTGGCCTTAAGGCCCTTCGGTTCTAAAGTATTAAATTTATAGATAAATTCAGATTCTTTATTTTTTCGATCTCTGGTGGTTCGAAAGCCCCCCTGGTGTATAATAAAATTAAAATCAGAAAGTCCGTTATGTCCTGCGGAGTTTAAGTGACGGGAAACCGGTCCGGCAACGTGTTTACGTATATGACTTTTATGTAGATTCATGCGTTTTCTTATGCTTGTTTTAGTTTCTCCTATGTATTGAATTTATATATATATATATATATATATATATATATATATATATATATATGATGTCTTTAGAAGAGCGGCTACTTAAGTGCTTCCCGCATAAACCCCTTTTTTATAAACGTTTCCTAGACGACATATTTATAATTTGGAATAATGGGGAAGATAAGCTCTTTGAATTTATTAATTTTGAAAACAATTTTAATCCACATATTAAATTTACGTATAAATACTCTGATACAGAAATAGAGTTTCTAGATATTAAGGTAAGACTTACTGAAAATGGTTTGAAAACAACCTTATATCGAAAACCTACAGATAGACGTCAATTTCTACATTATAAAAGCTGTCATCCAATACAAAACAAAAAAGGTATACCATACAGTCAAATGCTACGCTTAAGACGCTTATGTTCAGAAGATAAGGATTTTGATATAAAAGCTAGAGCACTAGGAGAGGATTTCATTAACCGTGGATACCCCTTACCGCTAATAAATAATTCTATATCAAAAAGTCGAGCGATCTCTCGGAACGCGTGTTTAGTAGAGCGGCCGAAAAGAAATAATCATGAATTACGACTAATCATACCTTACCAGTCAAAACTTCCAAACATAAACAATATTCTTAGACGACACATGAATATTTTACACATGGACAAAGCTTTAAAGGCAGTTATCCCTCGACCCCCCGGTATGGCGTTCAAGAGACCACGTAATTTATTAGATTTATTTAAACAGTCCCGAAACTCCATCGGACGTAGCCTGGTCCCGATTGGTTGCACCAAGTGCAATCATAACCAATGCAGTTTATGTGGGGACATAATTATAGCTAACTCTATTCGTAGCACAGCGAATAACTTTAATTGGAAAATAAATGGTACCTTTGACTGTAATTCGGAAAATGTTATTTATTTAATTCAATGTAGAAAATGCCAAATTCAATACATAGGAGAAACTAAAACAAGCATAAGAAAACGCATGAATCTACATAAAAGTCATATACGTAAACACGTTGCCGGACCGGTTTCCCGTCACTTAAACTCCGCAGGACATAACGGACTTTCTGATTTTAATTTTATTATACTCCAGGGGGGCTTTCAAACCACCAGAGATCGAAAAAATAAAGAATCTGAATTTATCTATAAATTTAATACTTTAGAACCGAAGGGCCTTAACAGTTCGAAAGGATCATTGCCGTCTTTTTTTATGGACATTTAATTTAGATCTTCTAATCGGTACCGCACTGTTGCTTTTTTTTTTTTTTTTCTCGCTTCATCGTTTAATGTGACACGAGCAAACGCGTAACATTGGGCCTCTCATTGGCTTCACATGACACCAGGTATAGTTGGGTTATAACCAACCACATGTCCCAAAAACTGGTTTTATGATAAGAATGGCAGTAATAATATTATATTTAATTATTTCCATAGTATTTATTGCATTGGTATCGGGATAGATTAAACTTTTAAGCGAGAATTTAGTTGAGTAGGCACCCGCTAAACGGTAAGCATTTTTCCAATTAACTTCTTTTTTCCGGCCGTTTTTGCTTTGATTGAAAGAAAAGGAGAACGAAGTGTTCTCACTTGACTGACGAAGAGCCTAGCAGGCCCGAAACGTTTCATCAATCTCACTTTTTTGGCAACCTCCTCGGCTAACTCCTTTAAGGGCTAATATTTTGTTGAGTATATATATATATATATCAGTGTGTCGAACCGAAAAAAATACGGGTTCGGTTACGGTTCAGGTTCAGGTAAATTTATTTTGTTCCGGTTCAGTTCCGGTTCGATTAACTCGATCCGCGAACCGGTTCGGGGCGCTGAACCGGTTCGCGAACCGGTTCGCAAATTATAAATGACAAATTGCAACATCAAAATAAATTACAAATAAAACATCTGAAATCAGCACATACGAAACAAGATACATCGTAGAGTAAGGCTCAGGGATTTCTACCAGGAATGGTTTCTTTATGTGCACTCAAAGGTTACCTCACCGACGTTTACGCATTCGGACTTCATCTAATCGGGTCGGACGCAGTAGCTGTAAAATCCGCGACCTCCTTACAAACCCACTTACAAGTAGAACTCGCTAACTATCCCGCCACCTCGGCGTGTAAGCAATTGAAGGAACAGTGGGGAGAAAATACAGCTTTCTTTATTTGAACTAGCCTTCGGTAACTCAAATTAGACCCTTGAAGAAGTTTTTATTAAACAAGATACGGAATATGAAAAACACTTCACCGAACGCAACGCCAGAAGGACGTAAGAGGATAAATATTAGAATAGAAGAGTTCGCTGTCTCACAAATATGTTAGCTTCTAAGCGCCTATACGAAACCGGATTCATTATTATCAAACTCCACAGCCTTTTCTTTTCTCATTCCCATGGAAGCAATCTTCAAGAACTCGCGCGTTCTAGAAACGTGTTATGAAATGAGCACACAGCAGCATTTAGGATTTACGAGATTGTAGGAAAATAAAATCCCGTGACGCGATTTTTTTTTTTTTTTTTGCACAGTCTTTTAATTCTTTTTCTTCCGTGCAAGCCGCGACCAGCGCAATACTGGTTCCTATGTCAAGATTCATGGATGCAGTGTTTGTCAAGATTCATGGATGCAGCGTTTATATTCCTAAGACTGAGTGGAGAAGAAAAATATGTAAGCGAGGTGTGTGTCAGTTGACGGCACTTAAAAAACAAATGGCATTGATAGCACATTCATTGTCAACAGCGCGTGGCCGAACCGTTTTCACATGAGCCGGTAACCGTTATTTTTTTTCCGGTTCAGTTCCGGTTCGGGTTCATCGCGATAACAATATAACGGTTCGGGTTCGGGTTCAGTTCCGGAAAAAATATCGGTTCGGTTCCGGTTTTCGGTTCGGTTCGGTTCCGGTTCCGGTTCGACACCCTGATATATATATATATATATATATATATATATATTTTTTTTAGAGCAATATTGACGGCGAGAGATTTATTTGAAATTCTGCGCGCCTGACATCACGGTATGGTCACTCGCTCTTTCAACCTCAGCGAGATGGTCATTTGCTCTTTCTACCTCAACGTGAAGGCGAAGCCGATCCACCTCTCCTGCACGCACCCGAAACACCGAGAAAGAAAATAAGCAGAAAGGAGATGACTGTTGACTAAATCGCGCCTCGCGCAGTCAATATTGCTCTAATTATTTTTTTTTTTCGCGTAAAATTACGCGTGTCCCAATTGAACTGTTAATTTTTTTTTTATCAGACTTTTTTTTAAAAAGGCCAGGGAAGAGTATTGCACACTGGGAGTTTCTGAAGCTATGCTGGGGCTATGCTGGGAACAGTTATTTCATTTGCAGTCCAGCACCAAGACTTGAATTATGCCTAAACGCAAGTGCAATGTTAGATGTTTGCAGCAAAGTCAGTATTTACAAACTGGCTTTGTGTTCTGGTTGCTAGGTGCATTAGTATGCACGAATTTATGGGACAGGCCTTAGACTAAATCAGTGATGGATGGGAAAGGACATATTATCATTTTGGGTTTCAAAACAACTTATTGTGACATGAATTTGGTAAAAGAAAATGAGATGGTACACCTGTGAAATGTTTGGAGGAACTTCCTATGTGACAGCATCTGTTGTATATAGCCAGCATATTTGCAAGAGAAAAGTGTTAATTTAATTGCTGTTTGCCTTACGAGTCATCTGCTGAAGGACGCCCACGTGAACATACTTTCTGATCAAATGCATGCTCATTTGAATCATTCTGACCACGTCGGAGTAGCTAAACCAGTATGTAATGGTGCAGGTTTGCTGCACGCGGGACGTGTCAAGTTGTTTTATGCCCGGAGATTTGCACACAGTACACATTACTGCATCAAAGTGTGTTGAACATTTATATCTTTGTCTTTCATACACATGGGGAGGGGATGTCTATTGTAGGTAATGCAGGTGCTTGCTCGAAGGAGATCAGCTGCCAACAAAAGACGACGACAGGCATTCTCTTCAAATGCTGTTTCTGCACCCATGTCACCGGCCATCAGCGTGGTATCCTCAATCACCTGATTGTCCACAAAGATGAACAACTCCTCGAGTGTCAGCACTGTCCAAAGTCCCTTTCCGAAGTGAAAGACTCTAGATGCCATTCTGGGATTCACCAGTCAGAAGGATGTTTCGAGCATCAACTGTGTCCAGCGACGGTCGGAGAAAATAGTCAACTGGTCAATCAGATTCAAACGCACATATGTGAAAAGCCTTCCAAGTGTAAGCAGTGCTCCCAAGCCTTCACTTGGAATAAGCTGTCCAGCGGTATTCGTTCAAAGTGCAGACTGTATAGCTCATATTCAAGCACACACAGGCAAGAAACCTTACGAATGCGAGTATTGTCCCAAAGCGTATAGTGCGCGTGCGACCCTGACGGAGCACATTCGAAGTCACACGGGCGAGAAACCTTACAAAGGCGAGCAATGTGCCGAAACCTTTAGTGTGCGCAGGGATCTGACACAGCACATTCGAAGGCACACAGGCGAGAGGCCTTACAAATGTGAGCAATGTCCCGAAGCTTTTAGTGCACCTGCTACCCTCAGGCAGCACATTCGAAGGCACACAGGTGAAAGACCGTACAAATGCAAGCAATGCCCCAAAGCCTTTAGTGCACGTGCGACCCTGACGCAGCACGTTCGTACGTACACAGATGAGAGGCCTTTCAAATGCAAGTTTTGTCTCCAAGCCTTTCGTCACAGTAATACGCTGGCACGGCACATTCAAACACACACAGGTGAGAGACCCTACAAGTGCGAGATGTGTTCCAAAGCCTTTAGTGAACGTGCCACCCTCAGGCAGCGCATTCGAAGTCACACGGGCGAGAGACCGTACCGATGTGAGAAATGTTCCAAAGCCTTTAGTGCACGTGCAACCCTGACACAGCACATTCGAACGCACACAGGTGAGAGACCTTAGAGATGTGAGAAATGTTTGAAAGCCTTCACTACACGTACGTCCTTGAGACAGCACAGTCGAACGCACACGGGCGAGAGACCTTATGAATGTGAGCAATGTTCCAAAGCCTTTAGTACGCGTGCAACCCTGACACACCACATTCAAAGGCACACAGGTGAGAAACCTTTAAGACGCAAGCCGTGTCCTGAAACCTTCAGCGTGCGTGGGAACCTGATGCAGCAGGTCCAAACGCTTGAGGGGTCATAGGATTGTATGTCCCATAACTTGTCTGAGTCAGTCAGGTCAAGCAAAAAAATGCAACTTGTGGGGCAAAAAAAAAAAAAAAAAAAAAAGGACTGCGGGTATAGCTCTCACAGATGTCAGCAGCCAGAGTCTGGTCGGCCATACAGACACGCAGGCTGGGGCTCACCAGTACGGACAATTTGTTCAAGCCTTTATTTATTGTGCTGTGTTCTAGATAGTAGATGCATGAAGGTGTGAGGAGCAAAGGTGGATTTTGTAGCAACTATGCTTGTCTGCACTGAATAAACGAAAATGGCAAACGGCCTTCACTGATTCATAGTTTGATAAATCATGGCGTAATCTGTCTAGAAAAGAGCTGGGCTCTTGATTACTTTGCCTTCAACATTTGTTCTGGTGCCCAGGTCACCCTTTCGGGTGCTGATAAAACACCTTTTGATAAACAAAAAATACTGCTTTCGTCCTTATTGGTTTTAGTGAACCCTTTTTCCAGTAATGAGCGGCGTCCGCGGAGTTGTCTTTGAACTACAAATGGAGGGCAGCCCAACTTGCTTCCGCCCATCAAAATACATTGGCATCGTGCTGTCGTATTGATCTATGTTGCCTTTTATGACCCATGCGAGCGTATACTTAAACAAGAATCGCAAAAAAAAAAAAAAAGACAAAATACGCTCAAAGGTGAATACTGAATATGTTGGTCGACCAGGGTTATCAGCCGTCCCGGATTTTGCGGCACTGTCCCGACTTTTCATTAAGTGTCGCGAGTCCCACATCGTCCCTGTCGGGACAGCCATATGTCCTGCATTTGGTTCAGACTGCCGAGTTAAACATTTTATATGTGATCCAATGCACGCCCAACAATGCGCGTCACGCTGCGAAGCTCGAATCGCACGAAGCAATGCTGCGTTGGGCCCTGGCTAGCATTGGCTGCGAGAGGCTTTTCCCACAAACGGTCGTCCGCGGCGTCATGAGGCCTCGCCGAGTGCGGAGTATAACGGTCTTGCAGTACGGTACGTATTGTGCATTCTTACTTTTCTTTTAGACTACGTCGAATTCTGACGCCAAGACTCCCTCCCTCCCTCCTTCGTTCCAACGCGTTGTTTGTTATTGAATTCACACATCAGTTCAAATAAGGGTCGTGGCATCCTCTAGGGTAAAGAAACAAAATGAAAGCAAACAAGGAAGATTGCGAGCAACACCTCTCATCGAAGAACACGCCGTCCGAGAACGGCTCCCTTCTTGCTTTTTTTTCATTTTGTTACATCATTTTGTTGTTGGGTCCGACTGTTCTCTTCTTTGTAACAATGCCGATCGTGGCAACCGTTGGTCATACGATTGGCGTTTGCTTTGTCACGCGATGGTGTGGTCCGACCGAAGGCAGCGGGCGCTGCTTTCTTGTTCCCGTGAAGAACCGTGACGCTAAAACCCTGCTAGGGCTAATAGCCAAGTGGGTCCGCCCTGGAACAAGACTAATCACAGATTGTTGGGCTGGCTATCGCAAGCTTGCAGATGACGCTCGCTTTAGCACCTCACCGTCAACCACAAGCTGCACTTTGTCGACCCGAACATTGGTGCGCATACCGATACGGTGGAGGGCACCTGGGCCCACGTCAAAAACTCTCTACCATCTAGACGGCGCGAGAGCCACCATTTCATTAGTCACCTTGCAAAGTTCATGTTTTGGAGGAGAGAGAAGGCGCGCGGAAGCACTAATAGATTCCAGTCGTTCGTCGCCGCGGCCGCCAAAATCTACAGCCCCGACGCAGACAGGACGAGGATTTTGACGGCCCTGGTGACTTCGAGTGATCCGCTGCGCTGAGCCCGACGCCCGCCTGCGTGCATAAAGACGCTTGTCAAGTGCTCGTTACGTCAGTAATAGGTTCTGGTAGCGGTCTAAACGGCCCTTTTCAGGGCCCCTATATTTTGCAAACGGAGTTGTTTTCTGAATGCGGCACCCCGTGTCTCTGTAACAAAATTCACAGGAAAGACCCAGCAAAGGTATGTGGTCCCAACTTGCATATTGCGTGTTATGATTCAAATAAAAACTGTTCTTGCTTATTTCGCGCCTTTGATCCCAATAAATGCCGCCGTTGCAGTCGTCCCGTGGTGCTGTTGCTTGCTCAATTGCCTTCGGCTTTGTCATCTTTGCCAGCGGCGCACCGGCGGAGGCGATTGATCTGACGCACCGCGTTCGGCTTTGGCTAGCAGACGGCGTTCGTAAAATGGCGTCAGCTGTTGCTGGCTTGACGCGGCGGTACCGTGCGGGCTTCCATTCATTCGGCGTTCGTTGCCATGGTGACGGCGAGGAAAGCAGACGAACTTTATGTTGCGGAAGAGCACTGCGGCGCAGCGATACCAGGTGCGTTCTAAGGCCCTTCCCGCATGCTTTTCAATGGGCGGAAGGCGAAAGCTTCCGCCTTCAATAAGCGAAAGGCGGAAGCGAAAAAAAAAAATCTTCTAAGAAAAATCAAAGAATAAAAAAAAAATTATGCAGAACATGCCTTTCAGCTTTAATATTTGCATTGCATTTTTTCATGCTTCCACGAGCATTTTCACTTTACATGATGGCGAAGCCAAAGCTACTTGCAAAAGCACGTTCCCCCGAACGATGCTCGCACTGCACGAGCGCAGGTGCTTGGCGAGGACACTGAAAGCTCGGAACTTTCTCTTGTAGCCTCTGCTACGCTGACACTTATAATGGAAGAGAGAATAAAAAAAGTGTAGTAGGGAAGCGTAATGTCACAAACGCGAGCCAAATATCCTATTTTGCTCGCCTGGAGCGCCGCTCAAAATTTGAGAACTACGGGCCTATATCATCTCGAGCTTGACTTCTCATTACCATATGTTGCACTGCATAATCGGGCCCCAGCCACAACTCCCGGGAAATTTAAAACTTTCCGCCTATGCCTCGTATGGTTTTCTGTCGTCGTCGCGGCGATGACGCCAAGATGTAACGTTGGCCAAGATGACCAAGACGCCAAGACGGACGCGTCTGCCATCTGGTGGTGTCTCCCGTCGCGCTTCGGCGTGTTTGCCGCGGGTCGGGGATTCACGAGCGATGGCGTCACGCGCAGGCCACGTCTTCTAGATGGTCCTGACCGAATTTTCGAGGCGTTTTAAAAGCGTGCGAGGGAAGAAGACGACGAAGGCGTTCCGATGGCGCTCAAGTGGCAGGGCGACGCTCCGGTCGCGGCTTTCGTCGTGGTGTCGGTGTGCACTTTCATGGCCATCTCCATGACGCCTCCGCTGCTCTACGTGATCATGATCACCTGCAACGCGGCCCTCTCGGTCGCCTTCTGGTTCCTCGTCAGGCGGGCCCTCAGCGCCGTCCGGGACCTGCCCGTGGACGCCAAGGCCGTCTTCGTCACCGGTGAGGCCACCCGCCGACTGCGTGACCCTTCGCTGCACGGCAAACATCCTCAAGGGCGTGCCTTTAATCCCCTTGTCTCTGTTTCACATTTCGGCCGCCAGGTGCCTTCGGTTATCGCGGCGGGCCACGAGAGGTGGTGCAGATATTAACGGACAAAAATAGCTGTTGATGGGTTAACGTAATTTAAGACAAACCCCCAGACTGGGGGAAAGTCGAAAGACAACACAACACACATAGTCTTAGAGCTATGGCGGACAACAACAAAGCACTCAAAAAGTCAGGGTATAAAATTTATGGGGAAGAGAAATAGACGCAGTATGCAGGAAAGGCAGAACACAAAGAAAGCTGGCATGCAGGGTCTTCAACTCCGTTTCACATTAGGGAATTTTAGTATAGATCGTTTCGGGAATGCCTCCGGTAACGATACCCGATGAACGATAGGACGCATGCGCAAAATCGCGTCGGCGGACGGTCGGGCTTCGTCATCGGAGCTATCGGAAAACGATCTGCAAAGCTCCCCTATTACGCATCTGACCGCGGGCTATGCGGAGAGACACGGGCAGGCCGCGGTCGTACTTAATCGGGAGTTCTAGGGAACCGTTTTTGCACATCCGATACGGTATGCGATGGGCCCTCCGGTACGAACTGCGCATGCGCTGCCACAGAAGACTCACACATGCGCAGTTCGTACCGGACGGGCCATCGCGCACCGTATCGAATGTGCAAAAATAGTTCCCTAGAACTCCTTAATGTGAAACAGATGTACAGCGGCCCGTTCAGACCGCGTTTCCCCCTCCGCTTAGCCCTCCGCAGCCAAGAGGCCGCTACTGCGCTTGCGCGCCGATGGCCTTGACTGTAGAGTTGCGGGTATCGTAGCGGGTTGCGGAGAGCGTTGTGGGACGGCGAACACGATCTACGAGAACTCGCTAATGTGAAACGGATGTACAGTGAGCGATGTACGCCATTCTTTGCACGAGGCTGCGACTCCGGGCTGGGCCACCACGTGGCAGGCTCTCTTCGCGACAAGGGCCTGACGGTGTACGCGGGCTGCTTGGACCCGGACTCCGAGGGCGCCCGACTCCTGCGGACCTCGGGGGTTCGGGTGTTCCACGTGGACTACCTCAGGCACGACACCCTCGTCGGGGCGTACGCCGGCATCCGCGACGCCGGAACAGGTACACCAATAACGCGTTACACCTCGTGGAAGCTTGTTTGTACGTAAATAGTGGACACCGAGCTTATCCGGAACACGCGAACGGCCCGTCTCATCTCACGGGAGCCTTGTGGAAGCCGAAGAACTGCTCTATGAGGTAAGCGCTCAGTAGAACAGCACGAGCAGGGGAGATCGCTCGCTTGACCGTGGACACCGCGGCAATTATGAGGGCCGAGTCAATCTATATCTTATCGCCACCTTTCCACACGTAGAGACACAGGTGATAGTCGGAACAGAGATTGGATGCTTCAATCAGTAAGCACCTGCTGTTTCTACTGAATGAGGCGAAAAGCGTAGATAACCTCGTGGGCAAAATTGCTGCGTTGTTTTCTGTCCAGGGGCGATTTCGGCCTCGAGTGAGCGGCCTCCCCTGCTCAAACTGTGGCACTGAGCGCTACGTCATGGCGCAGTTCTTCGGCTACCGCCATGATGATGGTCCCACGAGATAAGACTCGCAGTTCGCACGTTCCGGATAAGTTCGATGAGAACTGTACAGGACTCGCACTTACACGTGACCTCATCACACCGTGCCGATGGTAATTGACCTTTTTCGGAGAATTTTGTGCGCATGCCCGAACTTGAGGAGAGAGTAGGAAAGGGAAAGGCGCCATCTTTGCGGGCTCTCGCCGTACGCTGCTTGGCTTCGCTCGCATTGCTAGGCGCGTCTGTCCGGCACTGTCGTGATGCCTCACCACTGCTCGGCTGTTGGATGTACAAACATTAAGAAAAACACGCCGAACGTGAGCTTCTTTAGATTTCCGAAAGCTACCGCGCACCTCAAGAAGAGAGAAAAATAGATTCAAGCGCTGCGACGCCAGAACTCCGACGGGACGCTTTGGCAGCCATCTGCGAACTCGCGTGTTTGCAGCGTCCACTTCATTGGAGGTTAGTTCATTCATATTTGTTCGAACTCAGGAAATACCCGTCATACTCCGTGCAGGCTTGTAATTCATAGCAAGGTTTTTGTTCCTGATTTTTACGACCCAGGAGTATCTTCACGAGGCCAGAATCACCCAGACTTCGCTCCCTCCTTGTTTACATACAAGCCGACACCTGCCTACGCACCGAGTTTGCTTGCACGGTACTGCAGGGCAGCGAAGAGGCGGGACGCCAAGCCGTTGTCACGGAAAACAGATCTTTACACTGTCGCATAGTGTAAAGAGCAGGCCAGCTATGTGCTGGCATGTTCCGCTCAACCTGCATAGTTTATATTTACGCTTGAAACTCATTAAAATATTAAATAAAAAAATGTCCTACTACATAATTTTGTATCAACACGTCATCTAGTTCGATAAGTAGATCGATGACATAGCTTGGCCCTTTTTAGTTGCGTGCTGAAGTACCACAAAAAAGACGAAGGCGACAAATCTTGTTTTTTTTTTCAGATAACTTATCCCTTCACGCATAAAATATGATCAAAGGACTGGCACACACGGATCTTGATACAAATCTGCCTAAAGGATAGGGACTATGGGGCTCACGCCTTACAAATATTGACACATCTTGTAATCCTTAAGACACATTATTACATCGCCACTGGTTTCACCGAAGAAATAAACTCATACTGCAACGCAGTCGCAAGACGCTTGAACGATATCGGCGCTCTTGGAAAGCGATATCAGTTGCCTGTAATGTCCCGGCTTCATAGACGGTGCACACGTGCTTCTTACAAGGTGAACGGTGTGGTCGGGATCAAAGTTGGTCCACCATGACCTTCTTGACGTAGGCTTCTTTGAAGGCCCATCTTTTCCGGAGTTGTCTGCAGTCCTTCGCCAAGTACCGATCGACGCACGCTGTGTTGACAACCGGTACCGATGCAGCCTCGGCACTCCATCCGTCTTACAAAGCGTTCAGACGGATAAAGTCCGCAGTGTCGAAGACGGTTGCTTTACTCGATCCTCCGGGATCGTCATCGGCCACTTGTAGAGAACGACGGCCGGAAAACAGCGAGAAAAACTTTCCACAACGAACGCACCAAAACGATCGCGTCGAGGAAGCGAACGGGGTGACGGGAGGACGGACTGAGCCCGCAAACGTTTTGAATTATCTCCACGAGGGTGCGCCACGGTCGCTTCAACGAACTCTGAAAAAGGTCAATTTCTGCTTGTCCTTGCCGAGTAAAAAAAACATCGGTGGTTCGAGGTTTAGGTTGCAGCTGGTACGCGCGCAGCAGCAAGGTTGCACGAGTGCTGAGTCAGCGCTCGACTCGTGTCGTCTTCGACTGAACGCGAGCCCCAGTCGATCGCTGACGTAGCATTCGTGTCTGATTCGTGGCCTCCTTCAGGTGACGTAGAACGGCTTTGTTATCTACATGCTTTGTTTCACCTTATGGGAGTTTTAATCTTTGGTGTTACTGCTCTAAATGCTGATTTTGAATCTGTAATTTTATTTAAAATATATTTCCTCAAACAAAAGATATAGCAGAACTTGTGACGACTTGAATATGAGCTGGTTGCCCCACTGCCTGCTATAGTTAATAATCTAGGGAGAAAGGTCCCATGCATTTGGAGCCGGCTTGAGAATAAAAAGGCATCGGCGATCCCAGTTGGCGGTCCCGATGGACCCATATCACTGGCGACGCCTTAGTATCCACAACGACGCAGCACAATATCAACTGTAAGGTCTGCCCCTTGTTCTTCTCTCGCTTACTTCCCAGGAAAACACCGGAATCGCGCGTTGTATAAAGGAAACTAAATCGAGCAAATTCAACTCGTCGCGGCAAAATGAACTCGCCTAACCTTTCGTCTGCTTTCTTCCTTCGTTCTTCTGTCACTCCCTTTCTAGTTCTTTCTCTCTGGACAGCCGATGTCAGGGCTCAGGATTTACCGCCTTCTGCTTCAGTCTCTCTCTCCCCCCCCCCCCCCCCTCCCCCTTTGTTGCTTGTTTATGACGTGTTTGCCTTTTATGTATCTCTACGTGTTTCTTCCCTCATGTTCAGCTGGGTACCATAAATAAGCAAAGGCATGACAGAATATATAATCTCAATTAGGTCATTTCTTACGAGTTGTTGGGTTATGGAATGGGACGATCATTAACTTAAGCTGAAGTTGATTACTTTTTATGTAATGAGTATAAGGGGGAAAAAAAGCTTTCGGATGCAGTTAAGTTGTTGGAGAAAACAAGGACACCAAGTTCCCCGAAATCCCTTCAGGAGAACATTATCAGAACCCCCTAAGGCAAGGATACTTGACAATAAAGGCAAATATGATAAAAGTAACTCTCAAAGTTTCTCGTATAATTTAAACTTATCTACTTAATACTTGTAGCTTGCTTTTTTTTTTTTTTTTTTAGAGTCGCTAGATTCTGGTATCAGCAATCATATTTTGTGGGATGCTTTGGGCTGTACAGATTTTGAAAATGTGATTAAAAAAAAAAACGAAATTTCGTAACATTGACGGGAACACCGAAACAATGTCAAAAGCGCAGCGTCAGGGGGGGAGGGGGGGGGGGGGGGGCAACCGCAGACAGGGTTCCATACAGCATATTGGTATACAGGTGGTCAAGTGGGCGACGGTTTTTCTTGCCTAGGGCTGTGGGCCATCGTGGCGTGTGCGGGACAGACGACCTACGGGGAGCTGGAGTGGACGCCCTGCGAAGAACTGGTTCGAGTGATCGACGTCAACGTCCTGGGAACCCTGGAGCTGGTCAGCCTGGGCCTCGGACTCGTCAAGGCAAGCCGAGGGCGGATCGTCGTCTTTACGGGACTCCATGGTAAAAAAAAAAAAAAGGAAAAAAAATCCATCAGTGACTGCCCGACAAAAAAAAAATAATGCAAATTGTTAGACAA